CTTAAACTCAAAAGATTGCAAGGCCAAAACCCATCTCATAAGATATCCTTTTAATATAGTCTTGTTAAATAACCAACTTAATACCTGGTGGTCCACCCATATATCGAATATAGTACTCACGACGTAATATTCATTTATATTGCATTCAAAGATCACCAAGCACTCTTTCTCAGTGACACTATAATTTACCTCATACAAATTCAGCTTTCAGAATTCAAAAGTTACTGGTCTCAATTTCCCTGCTTTATCTTTTTGCTCTAACACAACACCAAGGGCAACATCACATGCATCAGTAAACAGTTGGTAAGGACAAACTCCATCACATGCATTTTGCAAATCTGGCCCCTTTAATATAGTTTCACTCAATAAACTGGTTTTCAAAATATAAAAGGCTCTGGCTTGCTCCTCATCTCATTAAAATCCAATTTCAGCTTTTGTTAAATCGGTTATGAGTTTAGCAATACAACTAAATTTTTTATAAATCTACGATAGTAGTTCATCATTCCCATAAATGATTAAACCTGCTTTAGATTTTTTGGTTCCTTCTATTTGGCAATTCTATTTACCCATTTTGGGTTAGCCTTGATTCCATTCTTGCCAACTACAAATCCATACATTGCAGCTCCTTATATAAGAAAAAATATTTTTAGCCACAAAAGTCAAACCGGCTTCCTTAAACCTCTGTGCTAACTTAATAAACTATTTAATGTAAACTTCTTTAGATCCATCGGTTCATAATCTGATATATGCTGCCACAACCATTTTCCACTTTTCTCCCTCTAACTACACATCTATTAGACATTAAAAAGTCGTACTTGCATTTTTGAGCCCCATGCACATTACAGCATAGTGAAGTGTACCCAGCAATGTTAAAATAGCGACCTTATCTTAGTTTTCCTTCCGAATACGAATTTGCCAATAGCCCTTAAATACATCTACACTTGAGTACCAGTCATGGCCAACTGCTTTTTCAAAAATATCTCTTATTAGTGGTAATGAATAACTGTCCTTTACGATATATTTATTAAGGGGTCTCATATCTTCAACTACTTGAAATCAGTCTGTTCCGCCTTCCTTTTTGCATACTGAAAAACAATAGTAAGCATACTGACTTGTTCCTTTCTCTAATAACCTGTATCTTAATATCTCTTTCAAATATTCTTTAAACATTTGAGCATGCTTAGAATTGTTAATATGAATAGAATGTATTCGAACTAGTAGTATTTCTCTTTCTTCAGTGTGGATTTCATACTGGACTATGTCCATTTTTCTAATCTCTGACAAACTGAAAGCAAATAGATCAGGTATTTTTTTAATTAATGTCTCATACAACCACTGTTTCTCTACTTTAGATAAACTATCGCCAATGTTGATTCAGGTACAATTTTCTTTCATAAGCTGCATCACTAACTCTGGTTCTAACCCGTTTATTATGCCATCTTCATTCTTATTCTTTACAAGCCAACATACTATTCTTCCTTTATGTTTGCAATTGCTCACATTCCTTTTGGCAATGCTTGTTATCTCTCTAACTGCTAGGTTGGCAATATTCATCTCTGCACAAACAACTTCTCCTAATTGCTCCTTTATATTAATTAACTCATCTTCACTAATTTCAACTCTATGCACTGCTATCATATTCTCATTTTCTTCTTCATCCTCTTCGCTACAATCTTCAGAATCACTCACCTACTGTTTTGGTATCACCGAGGCTATAAACACTGCTTTTCTTTTTTCAGATTCCACATTATACTAGAGTTTATTTTCTTTCTATTTTAAGCTACATTTAGACGCAGCAAGCCAGGGCATGTCAAGCAATACATCAAAGCTCACAGCCTACATAATGTAGAAATCCTGGTATACAATAATACCATCCATATCCACTTCAATATTTACAATACATCCAATAAACTTACTTAAACAATTATTCGCCATATGTCCTTCTTTGTTTGCTAGTTGCCAATTAAAACCTCTTTTCTCGCATATTTTTTATGCATCAAATTCAATATTGAGCCTGGATCAATAGGCGCTATAACTAATTCTCCATTGACTCTAGGCATACTCATAGGTACGTCCTCTATCTTCAATATATTTGTTTCGAAAACACTTCAAACTACACCAATTTTTGCATTCATAAAGAGAATATCATTTTCACGTTTTTTCCTAATCAATACTTTTAAAACTTTAGTTCATTCTTTGGAAGACCATTTAAACAACTGACCCAATATAATCGTTATGTCTTGTTAAGCTATTAACTTAAGAATATCAAGTTTCTCAGTTAACTCAAACATAGGAATATACATAGTTGACCCTTATTAACCTCTCTATTTTCACTAGAATCATTTACTGGTTCAGTATTTTTTCCTTTCTTTGTTCCATATGATGTCGCTTCCTCCATTTCTAATCTCCATCTCTTCTCAAGATTTCTAATATCGAACAATGTATCTTCATTGTTTATACATATCATCAGATACTTATCCCCTGATACCGTTTTTTCTATAACTTCAAAAAATGTATATTAGCATCTTTTATTTCAGAATCCCTTGTCTGATTATTCCAATTTGGATTTACCTGACTTACAGCTTGATTTTGTCTTGGCCAATTAGGACAATTGCGGGATATATGTTCTTCTTAATCACATATAAAACACCTTCAAGGCCTGATACCTTGATTACCTTGGTTCTGACCCATGTTTCTTGTATTTTGATTTACATTTAATGACCTGCATTAGAGTATCTAGTATTTATCTTTCACAAGACTCTGTACCGTTTTAGAGAGTTCTATGATACTTGTTTCGATTTTGTCAATTCTATCCATATGTTAAATAGGCTGATCACTAACACAACAAATTTTCATCACTCCAAAAGCAGCAGACAGATCATTAACCTCATCTTTGACCGGCTTATTAGATTTTTCAGTGATAAGTTGAATCAGAGCTTTACTAATATAGTCTCTGTCTCAATCGTATTTTTGCTATTTTCACCACCAAATTCTTTGTGTCTTCATATATGTCAGGGCACAGATCTATAATCCTATCTTAATATAGATTCTTTAGACCTTGAATATACCATTCTCTTTTCTCAAGATCCCTTAGCTAATTCTTTATCTTGTTAATATATGCATCAAAACAATTAGTATACATTTGAACAGTGTCATTTGCCTCTTGAATTATGCTTTTTAATTGTTCTAACTTTTCATTACTATCAGATGAAGTCTTTCAACTCATTATTATGGCCACTCTCAAATTCTTCCAGGTTGAGTGAGCTTTTATTAATTGCATCATTACTGGTTTTAATTTGTTTGTTACATGTAATATTATGACCAAACTCTTTTTATTGTTATCCCAATCTTTTGAGGCTGCATATATCTCAAAATATATTAAAAATTCCTCTATATTTTTATTGCTATTATAGATTGGCTTAGTTGGATCAGTTCCACCTATATCAGTTTAATTATTGGTTTATATTAAGGTATCATGCAAGTTCTTTTACCGAGTTTTTTTTTTTTTTTTTTAATGTTCTCTTTATCTCTTTATTGTTACTACTATTTATTTTAGTATCATAAATATTCTAGTTAGATATGTGCTTTTCACTTTTCAGAATCTTTAAGCATCGTATGTATTGTTTAGTGGCTTACAAATTGATTACAGATCTTGTCTAGGTTCTTTCTTGTCACAAAGTACCTTGGGCTACTGTGTATTTCTTGATATTTACTATTTATCTTTAACTCACTTGGCTATTTTCATACAGGCACTGTATCACACAGGTTCTTCCATCAATAATATGTATACACAGATATCAGTTTATTCACTATGATCAATTTTTCACTAAGCAAAACCCTTTGGCATTTTCTCTTTTGAATCGATACTTTATATTTTATTACTAATCGCTATTAATTACTACATTGTTCTTGCAATCACTTTTTTAGACTTTTAGTTGAGTTTATGCATTACACAAATTCCAATCATGCTACTTATACAAACCTGATCTGATCACGATACCTGACCCTTGTGCTATGAATTAGGGGCATCAAATTCAACTATGATAATTATTAATTATCGATTTTATTCTTGAGAATAATAAAGAGTTAGTTAAGAAAGATTGACAGGCTTTTGCCTATGAGTTATAATTTTCTATGAGATCACATGCATTTTCTCATGGCTTGAAAAGAAGAAGAATACATAATCCATAATGTTTGGCATTTTCAATATCGTCTTTTTTTGATATACTTTATTTATATGATGTATTTGTAGGTGAGTTTTACATTATGAATGAATATTTTTATATTTGTTTGTAAAATCGTAACTTTAAAAAAAAATAATCTACAAGTCTAGTACTATTTCTTGAAGCTTGAGTTGTTAACATAGTTAGATTATGTGATTTAATTAGAATTTTATGAATAGTAGATGCATAATCATAAAAACATATATTTTGTAGCAAGGAACCTTTAAATTGGTAGTCAACGTGAAGATTCATTGTGGTTAAATTTTTGTTGAATAAAGTTATTAATAAAGACTTATTAATTGAATTTTGCTTATTGTAATAGTCACTGTTTGTTTCTAAGTTATTTGAAGATAGATCATCAATTATATATTGATATTTAGCCTATTCTTCAATTAAGTAATATTTAAAAAACTGAATATATGAGTAAATTTATGCTGAGTGTTATAATCTTTAATTTCTAATAAATAATCTAATATTTGTAGACCAGTAAATTCTGTATGTGCTGCCAATTTATTAAGAAATTTTACAACTAGCTTGTGAAATGATTTATTATATTAAAAGAAGCATTGTCAGAGGCTTTTTTTTAAAAAGTTTTTAAAGTAGCAGAGTATAGCAAGAATGAATTATACATATTTAAATCAGTTTTTGTAATGTATTCTGTAATATAGTAAATATATATCAGGAAACTTTTTAAGCAAATAAGTATTGATATATAGCAATTAATGTTTTATATCGATTAAAATATAATGCTATATATTGATAAACTAGTAATAAGTTAATATATATCTAAAATTAGATTTTTAACAAATAACAGACAACAATTGATATAAATTTATTAATTAATTATTATTAAATTATTTAAATTAATATCTAATGATTAGTAGCTATAAACATTATATAATTGATATATCTTGCATGAGAAAGTTAAACTATCATACACGTTTTCATAACTTGTATAAAATAATATCATATCTCACATTAGATCTACTGATACATCAAACTTTATTACTATCAAATATTCTTTTAATTTTTTAAAAATTTATCTTCGCTTAATGCTTAACAATATTTTTTTCTAAACTATATATATATTAATATATATATACTGTTATTGTATTTTTTTTAAAAAAAATAAATCAGTTTTTTATTGTTTTTTTGTAGGTTCATTCTTTGCCAGAGATTGGAAATTCAGGATCTAGAACTAGAACTTGTTTTAGATAAGTACCTGTATCATTTTTACTTTCTTGTTTTATTTTTCTTTCATTTACTAATTTTTTTTTTGTAGGTTTGTTCTTTGCTAGAAATTAGAAATTCAGAATTCAGAACTGGAACTTATTTTAGATAAGTGCCAGTATCTTTTTTACTTTCTTGCTTTACTTTTTTTTCATTTCACTAATTCTTTTCTTTTTTTGTAGGTTCATTCTTTACCGGAGATTGGAAATTCAGGATCTAGAACTGCTTATTTTTAGATAAGTACTAGTATCTTTTTCGCTTTTATATTTTACTTTTTTTTTCATTTCACTAATTCTTTTCTTTTTTTTTTGTAGGTTTGTTCTTTGCTAGAAATTAGAAATTCAGAATTCAGAACTGCTTATTTTTAGATAAGTACTAGTATCTTTTTCGCTTTTATATTTTACTTTTTTTTCATTTCACTAATTCTTTTCTTTTTTTCATAGGTTCATTTTTTGCCAAAGATTAGAAATTCAGGATCTAGAACTGAACTTATTTTAGATAAGTACCCTGTATCTTTTCACTTTCTTGTTTTATTTTTCTTTCATTTTACTAATTCTTTTTTTTTTTGTTTTTGCCAAAGATTGAAAATTCAGAATCCAGAACTAGAACTTATTTTAGATAAGTGCTAGTGTTTTTTTCACTTTTTTGTTTTATTTTTCTTTTGTTTTACTAATTTTTTTCTTTTTTTTTGTAGGTTCATTCTTCATTAAAGATTGGCGATTCAGGATCTAGAACTAGAACTTATTTTAGATAAGTACTAGTATCTTTTTTATTTTTTTGCTTTACTTTTTTTTTCGTTTTACTAATTCTTTTCTTTTTTTTTGTAGATTTGTTCTTCACTAGAGGAATTAGAGATTCATGTCTGGAATTGGGACTTATTTAGATAAGTACCAGCTTTTTTATATTTCTTGTTTTGCTTTTCTTTCATTTTATTAATTCTTTTCCTTTTGTAGGTTTGTTTTTCGTCAAGTATTAGAGATTCAGGTCTGGAACTGAAGTTTATTTAGATAAGTATCAGCTTTTTTATATTTCGCATTTTGCTTTTTTTTCATTTTATTAATTCTTTTCTTTTTTTATAGGTTCATTCTTCATCAAGAATTAAAGATTCGGATCTGGGACTAGAGCTTATTTAGATAAGTACCAGTGTTTTTTTCACTTTCTTGCTTTACTTTTTGTTTTACTAATTCTTTTTTTTTTTTGTAGGTTCGTTCATAACTATAAATTATGCTGACTTACTTAGTTCTATTGTCATATTATATATTGGTAAAGAAGTAGATTATAATAAACTATTAGCTAAAAATTTTCTAAAAGCTACTGAGTGTACATCACTTGCTTATCTAGACCCTTCTACTGTCACAAAGTATTTTGATAGTATAACTACTTGTATCTTAGAAACTATTATAGGATATAGTAATAAAGAAGGTGAAGTTTTTAATAATATAAAAAATTATTATGAAGTTGTTAAATATCAAGATTATGGAACTCCTATTGTTATTTATTAATATAGCTTAATGGCTTACTTGATCTAATTGAATTGCGCCAATGTCTTAAAAATGATAAAGTATTTGGTCAACATTTACTTGTATATTTTGATAATATTATTAAAGAGATATTAGTTATCTTCTTAAACAAAATAATATATTAACAGATAAAATATTATAAGCAGAATATAGAACACTGAAACCAATACAAGAAAATGAATACATCTTTTATTTTTTTCTATTCCAAATTCTAATTTACCTGATTTTGATGAAAAGTTATATTTAGACTTACTTGCAATTACTAAACATAAACACACTTTATATTATCACTATATCTGAATATATAAAAAATACAACTGTGATTTACAAAAAAATTGTAGGTTTAATTTTTCTAGAGAATTAGTTGATTTTCCTGGCTTTATTTTTTCAGAACAAGATATTATTGCACTTCTACATACTAATGC